CAAAACCAAATGAAAACGTGTTTCAATATTTAAAAAATGAGGAAGAATTATCAGAATTAAAATATATTTTAGGACCAATCGATAACGAAATTATAAAATCATGCAAAAAAGTATTCAAGTTAGATTATTCATCATCATATTACCATGCAAGACAGGTGTGCAAAATAAATTCAAAAATATAATCTGTTCTTTACGCTTTCTTGAAGAACTTTTAGACACATGAAAATAAGAAAGTGTCAGTATTTGGGGATCACGGTATCCAATTCCTGTATATTTTGGATTAGTACTGAACATAAACCTGAATCCCATTTTACTCCATAACGTCAAGATTTGTTCTTAACTTAAAAAAATATATCAGATTTGTAAGTGTATATGAAATTTTTGAAATTTAAAATAGCGGTTCTAATATAGTTTGTTTTCTTTTTGAAGAATGTGTCAAATTTTAGACATTTTTTTAAAGATTTAATTAAAATTTGTTAATCGAGCTTTTAGCTCACTTATTACCAATCTTCAGTACAATATTGAATTTTTTTAATGTAACACAAAAATTTTTAAGTAACGAATTTTATGAAACTCTATTCATTTGTACAAACATTTTCTAAAGTTGATCAATGTTGAAAACTTTGACCTGCACATTGGATTCGAAATTTTGAATTTTGAAAATCTAACTTTAAATTTCTTCATAAGCGAGTCCAAATTACCTCAGATGCTAAGTTTTAATTAAATACACTAATGTTATAATAATTTCCTATATCTCCTCAGTGGGCCAAAAACCATGTCCGTTCTAAAAACGTTTTAAGGACGTTTTTAGAACGTTTCTTGTCCGCCAAATAATGTTGTGGAACATTTTAAGAACATGGATGTTCAAATAATGTTGTGGAACATTTTAAGAACATGAATGTTCAAATAATGTTCCAGAACATTATTTGGAAAACATGAAACGTTCTAAAAACGTTCTTAAAACGTTTTTAGAACAAACATGGTTTTTTACCCACTGGGTCTAAAGTCCAATATGTTTTTTGTGGTAAGAAAAAAAACCTAACGTGAAGAAGAAAAACAGACTTCAGAGTCGTATTCAGCTGCCCAAAATACTTGGGGGTAGGGTACTCTAATCTTTGAACCCCAACTTATCTTTTATTTTCTGCGATTATGTAATTTATTAACTCAACTTCCCAAGTAGCACGATATATCAACCAGATGTCACGGTGATATCACCGGGGAATGTCACCGTGACATCAGGAAAATGTCAAAATGTCCGCCTTACGGTGATATCACACGGTGACATCGAGGTGATATCATGGTGACATCAAGGTGATATCATGTTGATATTTTACAGGGACTTAAAATTTTTAATAATTTAAAAAATAATAATAAATAATAAAAATAATAAAAATTAATAATTTTTAAAAAATTTTAAATACCTGAAAAATATCAACATGATATCACCATGATAATACCGTGATATGACTGTGATATCATTTTGATGTCACCATGATATCACCTCTATGTCATCGTGTGATATCACCGTAAGGCGGACATTTTGACATTTTCCTGATGTCACGGTGACATTCCCCGGTGATGTCACCGTGACATCTGGTTGATATATCGTGCTACTTGGGTTACAATTTTCAAAATAAATAAAAACTCTTTAGATCATAAAAGAATCTTGGTTGCGCCATTTCGATCTCTGATTAATTAACATTCGATTCATCGACAAGAACTTGAAGATTCTTCAATTTGTTCTTGATCGTCATGTTGACATGCTTTTGAATATCATAGTGTTTGGTTATTTTCGTGATCTCTTGGATCTTGTGAAAACATTCTGCTTCCTCTTTTCTAATTTTAAAGGAAACTTGACTTCGTCGTTGATCGCCCAGTTCCGAGGGAATTGGGTTATAGACAGTCTTCGCACTGCTGCCACTCGTCTTGCTCAAAAGTTTCATTGTACTTCCTATTTTCGGCTATCTTTTACTACGGTGGCTTCAGATACTTCAAATTTTCCTGTAACCTCGTTTACAATAATAGACAATTCGTTCCAAGCGGTATACACTTCTATATTCACGAGCCTCTGGTTATCGCCACCAACGCTAGGCGCTTAACGATCGGAATCAGAAAGTGATTTAGCGTACTCTATTTTTTTATAGTCGTTCATCAGGTACCCTTGATGTCAAGGTTAAGTCAAAAAGTGTAAATATTGAAGACTATACATATCACATATTTGGTATAGGATATATATTCGCATAAAAATTGACATTAATTTAATTCTTCCTAAAGTATAGAAATATGAATATAATTAAATATATTTAAATTATACACTACCGTCCGAAATTGTGCGAACTCTGCTTTTTCAACAACTATAAAACTGTTTAAATCTTCAAAACTATTAAAACTAAAATTTTTTCCTCTTTATTTTATTAAAGCTAATAAAATTCTGAAAGAAATGACACCTTGACAAAGAGAATATGTTAATTTTTCAATTAGATATCTAAGAAAAACCCAATTTTCAATGTTTTTACTATTTTTTTTATTTCTCTGGCAAAAATTAATATTTTTAAACGTTCTTAGGCTCATTGAAATCGTATTTTGTTATGCAATTCAAATTATATAAAACAATTCATGTACACATTCTTCCCTAGCGTATGCAAACCGTGAAAGTTGGCTCATAAAATGTCAAAAAATTGTGATTAATATTTATATGACAAAAAATGATCAGTAAAATGTATAAATCTTAAATTTACTTACATAAATCAGAGAAGTTTAGAATGATATATTTACTTGATTTTTAAACATTATATTTTATTGTAGAATTAAATTTAAATTTTTTGACATTTTATGAGCCAACTTTCACGGTTTGCATACGCTAGGGAAGAATGTGTACATGAATTGTTTTATATAATTTGAATTGCATAACAAAATACGATTTCAATGAGCCTAAGAACGTTTAAAAATATTAATTTTTGCCAGAGAAATAAAAAAAATAGTAAAAACATTGAAAATTGGGTTTTTCTTAGATATCTAATTGAAAAATTAACATATTCTCTTTGTCAGGGTGTCATTTCTTTCAGAATTTTATTAGCTTTAATAAAATAAAGAGGAAAAAATTTTAGTTTTAATATTTTTGAAGATTTGAACAGTTTTATAGTTGTTGAAAAAGCAGAGTTCGCACAATTTCGGACGGTAGTGTAATAATGCAGTTCATAATAGATGCAATGGCTAAAAGTTCCAGTGTAAATAGACTACAACCAACAAGAAGTTTTATCTCAATGTATTTATTATAATTGCAGCTTGTTTTGAAAGTTTCAAAAAAAAATTGTCTCCTGTGGCTAAAAAAGTGGAATTAAGTCCCAAAATGAAAAAGACCATAACTGATTTTATGGTAACACCACCGAAGTAAGTAAATTTATTCTTACACTGTTTGATCAAGTGTTATTGTTCATGATACTTTTGCATTTAGAATGCAAAAATTGAGAAAAATTTTTAACCCGAAGACATACCTTTTTTCAAAATGAATATCATACATATTTTTATTGATAAAGTCTGAATTTACTTTTTCATAACTGTTATAAATAGGATAATAAATAACATAATTATGATATCATCATGTATGTAATTGTCAATTGATTCAACCTTGCGTTATAAACGCACGTTTCTCTTTAACTGCATCATATAAAAAAGTCCAATTTCGATTTTACATGTATTTTAGGAAAATGAAACAAAAAGTTTTAGCCAACAATCATACAAGAATATGTGAATGACATATTCGATAAATCTGCATTTTATAAATTCGAAACTATTATTTTTTATTTGACATTTTATTCTACAATTCATATTTAAGTTATTTCTCTATATTCATAATAAATATAATTATTAACATAGATTGTCAATAAAAGAGGCATTAACTTTTCAAGCCAATGCTGTAGAAAAATTTGGAAAATTTCCAAAATGTAAGTTTGTTAAAGTTTTTTATTATAAAAATATAAAACAAATAAACCGCTACTAATTTAAAGTAAACATTTTTTATATTTCTATAAACGCTGAAAATTTTCATAGACAATACTATATTTTGAATATTATATGTATTTTTTTAAATTATTCTGTTACGTTACTAATAAGAGATAGAAATTTTTAAAAAATAACGAAAGCCATTTATTGTTAAGATAAATATACCAATATAAAACTTTATTTTTTAGTATTCAATCCCTTTACTTATCCAAGGTACCGGACAACTCGAGATTTAAAGTATTTAGAAATATTCGAAAAAAGACTTGGTATATTATTTTCAATTATATATTTACTAAAGTATATTTACTTCTAAGAAATTCTTAAAAACGCCTGCACAAACATTCAAAGAAAATTACTTTTCTTCAAAAAAAAAAATACAAAATAATAATAGTAAATTTTAAACATAATATTTCACGGAATAGAAACTGTTATCAGTAAGTGATAAAATGTACAAGAAATTGTACGTTTTCCTTGGCCGAAATTAAAAACATACAATAATTGAGGGCCTCAATAAGACAGTTCTGCCTGAAAGGGATCTGAAAGTTAGAATTTTTAATCAATTTTTAAATATCTCTTAATGTTTAAAAAGTTAAAAAAATTTCAGTGTAGATTTCCACTGGATTTTTTTAAATCTCTATATAAACTTCTTATTGAAAAGTCCAGACGAATATTTCCAACTAGCATTGATGTTTACTCTATCAATAATTTAAAAATTAACATTTTAGAATCGCCGTTTTCTCTATTGAAAAAAAAGAAACAGGAGAAAGCAACCAAAAGTAATTATTAAAAATTACCTTATAATTTTTAATTGAAGTAAAAAACACCTTACTATTTGAAATTTTCATTACCTAAATTATTAATCTACTTTTTTATAATTAAAAATTGTTTATAAAAATTTATAAAATGCATCTGCTCTATATCATTAATATTTTGATATCGTTAAAAAATATAGTAAAATTAACTTAATACTTTACATATATAATTTATGTAGCGACAAATAGAGTTAGTATTGTCTTGATTGATGACGAAGTCTTAAGAAAAGAAAATGTCTCAAGAAAAAAAGGTATAATATATTTTTCTTTAAATTACTTTAATAAATATTACTAGTAATAATAATGTTCACATATTTTAAAATCTAAACTATATTTTTTGGATAATCTCTTACGTTCTAAAGAAATGTTTTTTCAACTAAGAAATGATAAAATTCTTTTTATTTATGTCAAGGCCTAGTTTCTATTGGCATCTGACATTCGTACACATGCCATCTGGTGTTGAAAAATGTAACTAGTTTTGGATAACTGTTTGTGTCACTTGCAATTGTAGTTCCGCTGTCATTGTTAATTATTTTATCATTATGAATGAAGCTACATTTTTACCGCGTGAGGAATCTTCCTGCAGAATTAAGTGTTCTGTGAGAGGCTGTTGCAGTACTGTAGCGAAAAATTTAAGCGTAATTTTCCATAAATTTCCGAAACCAAAACCAAAATTACACGATTTACACCACACTTTATAATGTGCCCGGCTTGCAAAACGTGTTCACCTTCAATAAATTTTCGTTGAGCAGGATTTGTACCTGCCCATGCGCAAATACTGTCCATAGAAATGAACATTTTCTGCATCCCATGTTATTCCCATGTAAATTCACTAAAAGTGTTACCCAATTTACGCCATATTGCTTTAGGCCCCGCCCCCATGTCAGATCCCAATACCTAAGTATGCTGGTACCTATGACAGATTGTTTATTTAAATATCTTCTTTAATATAAAAAATACAAAATTAGTTCAAAATATAGAGATAATGTATCGGCAATCCGAGTTCTCGAGACAAATTATTTAAAAAATTTTCTAAAATTTACTTGTTTGTCACTAAGAAGTATTTAATTCGTTCATTACAATTTTAAAGTCCATTTATAAAACTTGAAACCGGAAATTTCAATTTCAGCAGACGTTTGTTAGATTAAATTTTACTAATTATCTCATAAAAAGAGTGTATTTTAACATAAAATGTTTATTTCTAAGAGTTTAAATTTCTAATAAATCCTAAGATATCCTGGGTATGGACACAAGGATTTATGAATATATTTATTGTATAAACAAACAATAATAACAATAAATTGTAAGAAAGACCTGAAAAATACTTGAACAAAATATACATGAACTAACCAAATACCTTTCATATTACAATAAAATTGAAAGAAAACAGATATTATTATTGTTGCAAAATTTTTATAATAGAAATTACTATACATATATCTTATTATGATTAAAAAAAATTTCGAAAATATTAAATTCAAATATGTAAAAAGATTAATGCTTTGATTATATTAATAATTAACATAAAATTAATACTTTATTCCTCGTAAATTTTTCAGAACGTAAAATAGATTTCAATTTACCTATTGTTGATATCGATAGATATGAAACATCGGATAGTGAAAATGGTATTTAAATTATTAATATACTTTTTATTATTTTAATAATATTAGTAATAACAATAATCATTTATTTAAAATCGAAATTATACCTTTTAAAGAATCTCTAATAATAGAAGATAATGTTTCTAAAACGTAGTAACTAATTACATTTTACATTATAATTACAATAAAATAAACTTTAGTAGTTCAATATTTTTAAAACAATATTTCAAGTTAATTTTCCTTCTTATATAGTAGAACTCGGATAAAACAGATGGAGCTGCCAAATCTGGCAAAAATTTTCCGCGCCTTCGGCAAACGGCGATTGTAGCCTCGAAGTACAATGTTATACAATATAATTTTATTTATATTATTTTATATAATTCAATTCTAACATTTTAAATTCTTTAAATACATAAAAAAAATTGAAATTTTTTATTGCTTCTGTGTTATCCGAGTTTTCGATTATCCGAGGCACCTCTTCTCCACATTACCTCGTATAATCGAAGTTCTACTATAATTATAAATTCTTCTCAAATTCTTGAAATTGAAATATTTAATAAAAAGAAAACATTTAATCCATAATAATAAATAAAATAAACTTGGTACATTCTACAATTAATCTTTATAGAATCTGAAACTGTATTGGAGGAATCCGATTCCAACAGTGAGGATATTTCTTCTAATGAATCAGAAGATGATGGTATTTTATTAATTTTTTTCTCATTTTGTTGTTCTTTATACACGAAGAAAATCTGAAAGCACTGAGTATTTTTTCTCACATCACTGGCTACTGAGGAAACCAAAAAATTAAATTCCAAAACTCTGAATGTTTTCTGCACAGCACTCAATGCTCTGCAGAAAATAATCACTATTTTTTTGACAGTTATTAAAATTTCGGTTTATATTAATGGTTTTGACGTTAAACGTTTCTTTGTTTTCTAAATTCTAAAAAATCATTCTACACAGTACTCAGAGCTGTGAGAACAGCAGTCACGACTTCGAGCAAAGAATTTATTGCTACATTTGTAGTTCTGAATAATCTGTTGTCAACTAATATGAAACGAAACTCTGTTTACTGTCAAAAAAAGTTGTGATTATTTTCTGCAGAGCATTCAGTGCTGTGTAGAGAACATTCAGAGTTTTGAAATACAATTTTTTGGTTTACACAGTAGCCATTGCTATGAGAAAAAATACTCATTGCTTTCAGATTTTCTCCGTGTATATAATAATAATAATAATAATAATAATAAGAAGAATTAACATTTACTAAATAATTTTAATGAAAAAATATACATTTCTAATTAAATTGTATATTAAATTTCAGTTATTTAATTATATAAAAATTAATATTTTAGATGTTGTCGAAAAACCAAGTACATCAGAACATTCTACACAAGTGAAAAGTAATTATTAATTAATTATATCTCTTATTATAATTAAAACAAAACAAACATTATTACTTTATTATTTTATTCAATTCTATTAAATTAACGCTTTGACAATATAAATAAATGAAATAAAATAAACTTTATACTTTTAACACATAAATTTTTCATAACATCAAACTGAAATAACAAACTCCGAATAAAAATTAGAAAAATAAAGAAATTGATTTTTCTCAAACTAAATACAAAAAAATTACGGAAGAACAACAACAATTTTTGAATATATAGTTTACTTTTATTACACGAAGAGAAGAATCAAGTTTTATTTCTTAAACCTTTTATTTAAAATACTAACACACGTAAAAAACAATGATTTCTCATCAGACAATCAATAATGACATAAAGTGGTAATGAATTTTTAATATTTATTATTAAGCTTATCTTTTTACTAATAAATACCAAAAGGATTGCTCATCTGAAACAAAAATTTACCACTGAAATATATTTTTTCCAGTGTATTTAATTTTAATTTGAAATTTTATAAACATTAATATTTTAGGTCATGTTCAAAAACCAGTGGAGTCAAAACACACAAAACAAGCTAAAAGTAATTATTAACTAATTACATACTATGTTATAATTAAAACAAAACATAATTTATTATTTAAACATTTACATACTGTAAAATGTACATAATATAACTATAAAAGGAACTACAAAAACTAACTTTATTTTACATAATCTCTTTTTTAATAATTAAAAATTCTTTTGAAATCCATAACATTCATATATTACATAAGATTAATGCTTTGACTATATAAATACATAAAATAAACTTTATACTTTACAAACATAAATTTTTCAGAGCATCAAAGAGAAATTACAGATTCCGGTTCTTTGAACTCTGAAGATTTCCATCCTCATAACAAATATGTGAAAGATCACCATGGTATTTAAATCTTTTATTTTATATTAATTTTCTATAATAATCATTCATAGACTATTTTCAACAAAGAGGATCAAGTAGGTAATGGTGAAATTTTAAAGAACACAAGTTAAGACAAGTTAATTATTTGTCTTCAAAAAATCGACACTGATATAAAATGGTAATTTTCAAATATTTAATATTAAATCTAAATGTTACAAATAAATGCTGAGAGTATTTTGTTGCTGTAGCAAACATTTACCACTGACATATAATTAACACAGGAGTCAAGTTCAAGTTCTTCATGAAATTTTTTCTAGAAGCAAAACAGTTTCTGAAATTTAAACACGTTTTAGCTACTAACACTAGAATGACTCCTCATTTTTATACGAAATCTTTATGATACAAAAATTAATAAGTCATAAACAATCTTTACTTAAAAATATATTTTTCTAAAGAAATTAAATATAAATTAAATTTTTTTGTAATTATATGAAAATTAATATTTAAGATTCTATCAGAAAACGAAAGGCGCCAAAATACCCAAAACAAGCTAAAAGTGATTATTAACTAATTACATTTTATATTATAATTTAAACAAAACAAACTTTAATATTTTAAATTTACATAATGAAATTTAATATCCATTTATCTTCTCATGATTAAAAATTCTTCTTTATAAAGTTCATATATTATATAAGATTAACTTTTACAATATAAATGAATAAAGTAAAATACACATTATACTTTACACGCATAAATTTTGTAGGATATCAAACAGAAATTAGAGATTGGGCATCAAATTCAAGCAGCGATGTGCAAAAAGTTTTGAAAAAACAACATGGTACTTAAATTTTTTTTATTCTACTTTACTAAAATTAATAGTATTCTTTACTTTAATTTTGTAATAATATAAAAATGAACATTTTCAAATTTCTGTTCCAAAAGTTAAATATATCGAATACATTAAGACACACAAAAAGTTTTAATTTTTTAATTACCTTATTTACGTGACACTCCGAAAAAAATATACCTTAACTTCAAAACATGAATACGGTATACTTTGTCCGATAACTTCCTAGTTGCATAGTGAGGATGAATTTTGACAGAGCGTCTCAACCAATCAAAACATACCTCTTCAAACATATTTCTTTCTTATATATGTTACGATAAAAGTCCGGTAAATGTGCACATTTACAAGGCTATTTGGTAAAAGTGAAAAACATGCATTTAACACAGATTATTCGTACATTTACCAAGGAAATTGGTAAATGTGCACATTGACCAGCGCGAGTTGGGAAATGTAGATAGTTTGTTTTGTTTTTAATTGACTGGCGGACAGGGATACAGGAGATGTTATTGCAAAGGGCAATGCGATACAAGGAAATGCAGTTGCAAAGCAGACAATCTGTCGTGTAATTCGAAGTGTCACGGGAGTGGTCCTTGGTCAAATAAATAATAAAAAACAATTAGTAACGAATAAAGAATTTTGTAAATATGTCCACAATAATAATATCAATTACATTAAAAAACGTTTCACTACTTTTAATAAGTCTTTCACTAGGCTCACCACTGTCGTTATACATCTGAGCGAAATAAAAACAAACTATCTACATTTCCCAACTCGCGCTGGTCAATGTGCACATTTACCAACTTTCATGGTAAATGTACGTAAATTTTTGAGATTAATCACTTTTACCAGCTAGATGCCAGCCAGATTGGTAAATGTGCACATTTACCAATATCGTACTTTTACCGTAACATATATACACTGGAGCCCACGAACTTTAAACTTCTGAAGTTTCAACTGTGTTGACATCAAGTATGTAGCTCGTCATTTGCCAAAAGTAGATTAGACATTTTTAATTATGACAAAGACTTTTCTATTTAAACAATGAATTTTCTACACAAATTTTTCTACTTAAGCAAATGTATTCTTACACAAATTTTATTTCCTTACAAAAAATTAGAATTTCGAATTTGAAACTATATTACACACTTATTTTTTTTCATGCAGTGTTATGGACCTTTAATTAAGATTTTAACCTTTAATTTGGAGTTACAAAGAAATAAAAAACCGTTGGCAACTGAGCATTATCGTTGATTAAAGCGTTTTGACATAACTAGCATTGGCGCTGCAGAAAAACTGATAGAAAATACAAATGTCACTCTAACAGTTTCAAATTCACAATTCAAGTTTCAATTTTTTGTAAAGAAATTAACTTTTGTATTACGGGTTTCTCATAAGGAATATGACGTCATATTTTTAAAATTTAAAATAGCATATCCAACATGGCGGACTACAAATTTTCAAAGTAAAGCTAAGGATGCCACAATAACTAACCATGGTTCCATCCGGTTTATATTTATATCTTAAAGCATTTTCCTTGCGATGATTTTTTTATCTGAAGGACGATTTACGAGTATCCATGTATCTTTCTTTAAAATGAATTTAAATTCTTCTCCCATTGCTTAAAGCCATTCAACTTGATCAAGGCCCGATATTGCAGATTTAATTAAGATTTCTGCTCTGAGAGCTTCCTGCATTAGGGCAAACGCTGCTGTCTCTACTTCTCATGTGGTATTTTTTCTTGGTTCTGCCTGCTTTCCCGTCTCAAGTCGTTCGTTATTCTAATTCCTTTCAATGGTATGTTTGATTCCTACATCAATTTCACGTGTAGTTTCTTCTGGCTTGCAATTTTCTGAAATCAAATTCTCATAACCATGCTCTGGTGATCCCGATGATGAATGAAGAAACTTGACGTCTCGAGAAATGACGATTCTCAATTCTTCTGGAATACAAACCTTGCACCCCTTAGGATCCCCTGAATATCCTAAGAAAATTTCTTTTTTGGCGCGTTCATCGAACTTCCTCTTGTTCAAGTCTCTGTTTAAAAAATATATATCACTTCCGAATTCTTTCAGATGAAAGGCATCTGAGATTTTTCCAGTCCATGCTTCAAAAGAAATGCGTCCATCCAAGCTTCTGGTTAGGGATCTATTGTGAATATAATTCGCAGACGTAACTGTTTCTGTCCAAATCTATGGAGATAGCTGTGATTGTATGAGAAGACATCTAGATACATCAAGAAGAGTTCGGTTTTTACGCTCAGCTTATCCATTTTGTTCCAGATTATTCGCTATAAAAAGTATTCTTGGAATTCTACATTGTTTCAAAAAATTGTTGAAATCCGTAGAAAAATATTCTCCTTTATTGTCGGATTGTAGGCACTTGATTTTCCTTTTTTTCTGATTTTAAATTAGGGCTTTAAAACTTTCAAATGGCTTGAAATCTTCCATTTTCTTCTTGAAAAATCGTATTTCGTACCATTTCGAACGATCGTCGATGAAAGTTATGAAATATATCGACTCTTCCTTTGGATTCAACGCGCATGGAACCACATAACATAACCACTATGAACAAGGTGTAGAATGTCACTTTGCCGATCCGAGTTTGTCGAAAAATAAGACTGTGTCATTTTACCTTGTAAACAAGTTTCTCATTCAAAATTATTCCCGATTTCTTTGACGTTTACTCCGATAATAAATTTGACGTTACTTTAACACTTCCGTTACTTCCGATAACAGTCGCACGTTTCTTGGTGAACAACACTTCACATCCTTTTCCGCTATGTTCGCGACTGATAATAAGTTTGTTCGTAAGTCGGGAACGTATAGCACATACATTAATTTAACGTTTTTTGATTTTCCGTCAAGTTCAGCAACAAAAGATACGCTTCATGTTGCTGCGATTTCTGTAGATTAATTACTCGCCAAATTTAACTCACCGCGTTTCCAATTGTCTGCATCTGTAAATAAATGTTTACTGTAACAAAAGTGTGAAGTACTCTTATATGCAGTTTAATGGTAATTTTTAAAAAACATCACTTTCCTGGCAGATCAGACATCGGTAAATACTTTTAAACCCTAACCGAACTTTACAAAACGATACACAATTTTTAACATGTTTCAATTAAGAGTCTTACTAATAGAATTACATTCAATATGTGCCCTAGATAGTTAACAGGGACATTATGTAAAAAAATTAATTTTTTATTGCCTGATAATTCTGATACAAAACACTTGTTTCTATTAGAATCACTAATCAATAAAAAATTAATTTTTTCGGAAGTAAGCTCCCTTTTAGCCGTCCAGGTCACATATGTTTGTATCATCATTTTCACACAAGTTTTCATCCCGTTTCCGTTCCCTTTACTTTTGATAGATTTAAATTATAAAAAAATTATCTATCCTTTTCTTAACAGCCCTGAGTAAAAGAAAGCTTCGAGCAATGGCTTGGAAAAAATTAAGAAACGAAGACCGAAAAATTAAAAGAGCAAAATTAAAAAAAGAAAAATTGAAGCATTTTAAAAACTACTGTTAATTAATTCAAATTTTATTATTCTTTCATTTATTTCAATGCTTAACATTGTTTATATAACATTTAATTTCCTACCACAACATTCATTCATTTATTACTAATACATTTGAAAAACCACTGCGCAACTATGAAAGCAATAGAAAACTACTGCACAGCCATTACATTATTTTATTCAACTGAGAGGCTGATAGTAAAAATGATTTAAAATAACATTAGGAGCAAAAGTGGGATAAGCGACTTGAGAGAAAAAACGGGTTAAAATGATTCGTGTAATTTATTGATAAAT